TGCAAAAAGCATTACTTATAGCTACAATAACGTTTTTCGCTTTTTTATAAATGCAGAGGTTAAAATAATTGCGGATTAAATGAGCTCCTTTTTTTGTGGTGGTGGGGAATAAATTGCGGTCCAGACTTTTTTCGGGAGACCGTGGCAACCTAGTGGGGTGCGGGACCAGACGGCACGAGCCTGCACTGGAGGCTCTCCTTCCTTCAACTGCTCACCTCATGAAGCAAACCCGGCACGAATCAATTTGATATACTCGCACGGACAAGTATCATCCGCTAGTCTCATCCCCCCCAGCGAGGAAGCAAATGCTGACGAGCCGGACTTGGTCACTGCCTCCTTCCCAACGAGAAATCCGGCCAGGACATAGCTAGTTTTGAAGCAGTTGCCGTCCCTGTAAACTACGTATCCACCCTACCGGGTTTGCTCGGGGATCGTAGTCCATCGGTATTACGGCACCCTCAGCCGCTTCGGCACGGGTTCGAGGTTTCTCCTGGCCGGCGGTCTACCTGCTCCGTCTGGTCCGTCTCCGCCGTCTCGGCCTGGGCAGTCGAGTGTTGTATGGAGGAAGATATCGGGCCTACGAGATGTGGCCATAGCCACACTCAAGAAACAAGAGTCTGTTTGTGGGATTAAAACAAACTATGTCTTGACGGACGGAAGAAAGGACAACATTGTCCACCAATCGACCAACTAATGAAAGGCCGTCGCCGGCATCTCCGAAGGCAGGCCACTACGATGTATGGTCAGCATATTCACCATTCTCTGCTTCATTATGCTTCGCTTCAAAGCTATTCTGGCTCGTGTGGGGGCTTGTTGCTTGGTGGGATATGGGCCAGAATGAGGTCATGTCAGCGAAAAGATCTGGAAAGGTGATATTTTTCACTAGCCGCCGACTGTACTTGAATACTCCAGCACGCCATGGCTCTGCGCGAATGCTCGTGAACTTTTGCACAATCAGTCCCTTTTGCCAAGTGCGAGAAAGGCCCGGATACGCCCGCAGCAATAGTAGAACTCTCGTCCTGATGGTCAGCTGGGGGGTTGCAAAATGTCGTGTTTCGGTCCCGACCCCGTTCAGCTGGCTCAGCGTATGTGAGTGCCCGTGTTCCGTCATTGTTCTCCTTTCGGACCGTGCGATATGGGGTAAAGTTAGGTATACGTAGGCTGGTATGGTGGGGAGCCAACAAGGCCACTAGTCAAAGGCTGGGAAGCAGAGCTGGAAATGGGCAAGCTCTGCGTCGTGGCTCGGCTCAGAGACGCAGGCAGGAGAAGATATGCAGAAATAACCGGCGATCGGACGAAAACCAATCATCCTTTTGGATATCATTTTTTCGCGGCCGAAGACGGATGCTCTCGCGCCCTTGGCACCACCGCCATCGGCCAGCTTCTGATCCTTGCCAGCTGAGCATAGCAGCTAGCCCGGTGGTGTTGGGCTGGCTGCCCATGTCCATAGAATTGGGTGGTCTGGAAAACGGAAGCGGGTGTTATTGGGTTTTCCTAGGTGCCCACCCAAACAAGCTCAGGTGGTTCAGGTTGACGGGCAAAGTACCGTGCACGAGGGGTACCTTGAAGTACCAAGCAAGCGGGGGCGCCAGAACCTTTGCCTCCAGCTGCGTTTATAACCGCCATCAGGGTGCAGGGCACCAATTCCTGGCCTAGGGTGATTGAGACATTCAGCGCCGCGAGCGCCGGTGGGAAATGGTCGACTAATTCCGCCGTTGCAAGTCTCAAGCATTGCCTGGCCCTGTTGTTTCGTCTTGTTCCCATCTCCCGCTCGCCTACCTGGCATAAAGAGAGGTCCTAGTAAAGATGCGCGAAGATCGAAAGAAAAAAGTTGTTGCGCGGCTCCTGATTTTCAGCTACAGAGCCGGGAAGATCATTACCTCCTTGGCACTAACCGACCTTGACCAACTCACGCGGCCAAGGTGCTGGACCCAATGGCGCAGGGCGAGACACGCCCTCATATGGTTGCATTTCGGAAGATCTTCATTGCCCATCCAACTCTGGCGTCTCTTGAACGATGAGCTGCAGTCCTGTTCTTCCACTCGCCGCGCCTGCGATCTGGGCTGGAGGGTGCCCGAAATCCAAGTTGCTGGAGAAGATGTTGTGACGATGTAGCATTGGGAAGTGCCAAGACCACCTCCTTGCGCAGCAATCACGATGCGCGTGCGGTGACAGCGATCCGAAATCTCTGCGTTGATCAAGGAACGGGAGCCGCGCGATTGCGACCTTCCCAGCCAACACGGATCTCATGTCATGGCCACGTTTTAGTTTTTGGTGCTGAACCGACGTGGAGACACCAAGCTCGCTCTCATGGGGAAGTGAAGCGATCCGAGGATCAGGTGGATCGGTGTACTAGATCCCTCCCCCAGTCCTGTCGTCTGTCACCGCTTGTTCCGCCTGCTGCGGAGGGTCGCTGCACATGGACAGGCTACAACCTCGGACCCGAAAGCGACCGCGTCCATGCCTACCCTACCCCTTGCTGCATGTCGTTGCCCTGATGAATCACGACTGCCAATAGTGGCATGTCCACCCGCATATCTCAGACATGCCTTAGCCCTCGGGAGACCTGGAGTGGGGGTCACAGCCCCGTATCTAGGTGACCTGGAGTGACGCTGTCTCCACACCCTGAGATTAACTTTGGCCTTGCTTGGGTGTTTGCTTCGTCGCCTATACCAACACCCCCCTTGGCCTGGCCGAACTTGACACCGGCTTCGTGAGGCAACGTACAATATCAGCTGCAAGCAAGGTGGGAAAGTGAGGAAGAACAAACGGCACTTCCGTGCCGCGTAGAGGTCCCCTGGTCCTGGCCCTGGCCCAAAAGACATGCGGTGCGCTGGGCGGGGTCAAGATCGGCTATCATTCAGATCAGGGCCAAGCAAGAATCTGGGTCGAATCAGGTAACATTTATGATTTAATCGTTTATCGTCGACATGCCATTTTGGTCCTGTCCTCGCCGAGTTTGCCTCTGTGATCGGCATCCCACGTTATCGACGTGTGCCGACTTCTCGAGGCAACATGTTGCAGGTTGAAAGTGGAACGGACGGGAGGAGTAAAAGAATACGAAGGGAAAGGAAGCGAACATGCAGCCGAGGATCACAGCAGCTGGCGGCTTACTCTCTCAGACGTCTTGTGCAGCAAAGGCATCATTGTACTGTGGGGACTCTCACTCCCACTTGCCGACCTCCTGATTGTCTCGGCAAGTTAGCTTGTCGGACGAGCATCGCGGCTATCCTGCCGTCCAGCCCAGCCTATCGGGGCAACCCAAGCCGGGTGGAAAGAGGGGAGGCGATGGCGGGAAGCCGCCAGACAAGCCTTCCAAGGCTCAGAGGCAGCCTCGAATTCGTCCATTATGTGGGCGGTGGATTGGTGATCCGGAGGTCCGTCTGTGTTCTGTGGGTTGGGCTGGTGGACCCTGGCGAAGAATGCGCAGATGTGCCGGATTTGGCGCGATAGATGTACGTGGGAGACATACGCAAGCGTCAGTTGCGTGCGAACACAGGTAGGTAGGTGCCCGCTGGGTGAGCAGTTGGAAGTCTAGGTCGTGAAAGCCGGGTGGTCAAAATCGCGGCAAGATGAAGAGCCAACTCAAGATTTCCTGCAGTTGCTGCAGTTGCTGAAACTGACCACCGCTATACATTGCCTGTTTCGGCGAGCGACAAATGCCTCTCAGGTAGGCGCATCCTACCTATCCCCACCTAAGCACATGTCCTGGTTTTATTCCGATGCGTTCGTAACTGCATCATTGGCAGCGATGCCTGTATGCCTTGACTTGATCAAGGCAAGAAATGTCTACGTAAATGAGAACGTATCTATCGGGGCGCGACATGCAGCGGATCGGACAACCAAAACCAAACAATATGAATTTTAGTGGTTGTAGAAACTAGACAGCATGATCAATTCACACCCCACAAGGCTAACCGGCAGGTAGGAAAAATCCAGCATGGCAGCCGAAATAGGAAGCGGTGTCCTTCCTTTTGGGCGTACGGGGCCAGTCCCATTGGCTGTATTGGAAAATCCCAACCCCACTTGCTGAGGGGAAATTGAGCAGAACCACCACAGAACCATCCCCAATCTTTCCCTCCCTCGCGAGCCACCTGCGGCCACCTCGATATCGTCAAAGTGATAGTCAGTTCTCGATTGCGGCAGAGACAGACAACCCGAGCGACCCAAACGCTGTCGCCCGGTGGCGTGCCATAAGGCCGCGACACGTCAAGGCGACGGCCTTATTTGTCGAAGTGGCGACATCGATTGGATGAGACGTCGGCAGCAAGCAGCCAGGCAGTTCAGGTCCCAAGGCTCGAGGCTTAGATTGCTGCAGGGGCGATTTGGATGTAGATTCGTCTTGCTTTGTTGCCAGCATCACATCTGCGGCTGCAGCCCCAGTCGTTGGAGCAGTCGTTGGGTTTTGGGTGATTTGCCGTTCTGGGTAACTTTTTCCTCCCTGTTCTGCCATTTGGAGCATCCCTGGGCGAAATCAGCACTAGACGCACAGAACTGCACAGCGCAACAGCCAGCACAGCGCACCCCCCAGTCAGGTCAGCCCCAGCCGCCCCCTCCACGTCCTCCGCACCAGCGGGGGTTCGATGCTGCTGCCCTTTGACCAGTCCGTGCTTGATGCGTCAACTGGCTGTTGATTTCCTTCCAGAAAGACGCGCGCGCCCGCACAGCAGCAGCAGCAGCCAGGTCTGCCGCCATTCGTATCCATCCACTCAAGCGAGGTCGCCGCCGCCCCAGAAGAAGTACCCCGGCCAGCTGCAGTGCTCCTTTGAGTGCGCATACCCCGGTTGGGTTGATCGTTGGGGCTCCAGAGGTGTCGCTGACCACACATGGCTGCTCCCAGCGAGGACCCTCATTTCTCGTACGAGCGTCATCCCTCTCCCACTATTCCCGTCTTATCGTTGGTTGATATCGGCCCAGCCAGCCAGCGCCAGCCTATGCGGTGCCCCAATCTCTCGCCCTGCCCTGTCTGCCTGCCTACCTGCCTGCCTACCTGCCTGCCCGCCTGCCCCAATCTGCAGCACTGCACTCCACCTCACCACACCCTGCTTCTCCATGTTGCGTGCCGTGCAGACTGAAAGGTCCAGACGTGTCGGCTTCGTGGCCGTCGCCGAGCGGGCGGAACACGGCCGGTGCCTACCATGGCGCTCGACGCGGCTTTGGAACGTCGGCGGCATCGTAGTGGAGGGTCAGCCAAGGGCTGTCTGGGCAGCTTGCCCCTCGTGCCCTACTACCCTCGCCGCTTCTCTCTTTCGTCACCACCCACGGCCTTGCACACCACCAACGCCTTTCCCCTTCTCTCATCGAGTTTCCACTGGTCTAACAGGTGGGGGCCTTCAGGTTGCCTCCCTGGTCCCTGCTCGCCCTGCAGGCGCGCGCAGACATTCTATTTGTGTCGTCTTTGTACCATGCATGCATTACGCTGTGTCCGTGGTTCATACTTGCGGTACATTTGTCTCCTGTCCGTCTTTATTCCGAAGAAGGCACTGTCAGCTTCCAACGCTTCGCCCAGAGGTCTGAAGTCCTGCTGCATGCCTGAGCGAGGGAATTTTGCGGTGTTGAAGGGAACGGCAGAATATGCACACGAGCTTCGAGCGCCCACCCCCCTCCTTCCCCTCTCCACGGCTTGACCGTCGCCTGTCTTTGTTTCTCTCTCTTTCTGCTTTTACGGTTTTGCTTGGTACTTGGCTTATTATTTGCGTGGACAGAGACGTAAGTGCTTTCGACACATCCACCCGTGCACTGATATTGCCCTCTTCAGTTACGCTCGCCGCCGTTTGACTTTGACCTTAACTGGACGTGGTGGGCACAGCCCGTCTGACAGCGCCCCGTCCTCGGAGCAGCTACTGGTCCCAGCTCGCCCTGCCCCCCCCTGTCCTTGTCCCTATCATGGCTGGTTGGGGAATTTTTTCCCTTTTCCCACCCTCTTTTTTCTTCTTTTTTTCTCTCTCTTTGTCCCCCCTCCCTCGCACTCGTTCGCCTGTTACTGGCCCGCTAGCCCATCTTCTTTGACGCCTAGTTTCTGCTTCGACGCCAGGCTCCTCCTATCCTTGCAGTCAGCAAGAAGAGGCTAGGCAAAGTTGAGAAGCAGCAAGAACCCAACGTCCGTATTTGGCTAAGTGACTGGCTCAAAGAATAAACGGCGATGGGTGGGCTGTGGAAGCGCTCTCCCAGAGCCGTCCGCAACACCCGAGCCGCCCCTGAATCAGTGACCCTGTCTCGTCTGGTGCCACCTACGTACTCATGGGCCAGATTTCTATTTGCTTTTGTCTCCCCAGTCACGTTGAAGCCTGTGCTGTCTGTTCAGGGCGGCCAGCCCGCCGGACCCAACTGGATCAGCGGCAATGCCTGAGATGTAATGGCTACCCCACAAGAAGCTGCCTTTCACTTCTTCCCCTCTCACGGCGCCTGCGCGATCCCAAGGCCCCAACCCTCTCTCTAGGTGGTCCCTGGGAGGTGTCCGGTCAACCCGCTGAGCCACCAAAGAATGGACTGGCTGATGCCATGCCCCCCCTCCCCACTGTGGAAGGAACAGACAGGTGGAAAAGGAACGCAAAAATTAGCGCTACTGCTCGTTTCTTTTAACCGGGCTTGCCTCCTCCTCCTAACCATCCTCATCCTTCCCCTTTCTTGCACTCCCCGACCTCATGTTTAATTTTTCTCTCTAATTCTCCTATTTTTGCCCCATATCGACCCCTGCTCCCGTCAACTGGTGTCAGGGCTTCTCAATCTGGATCTGGGGTCAGCCTCCTCGCTCGTTCAGACCCTGTTGTTGCCCTAAAGCCCAGCCTGCTACCTAGTCAGTGGCTGCGAGGTCGCTCTGTTGTTATATACATGAGCACTGCGGGTCTACACTTTGCGCAGCGTAACCTTGTCTTACTCTTCCCCATCACGGCCCCAACCTAATACATAATTTCGCCCAAGCAAGGCGCTTGCACATGACACTGCGCTGGAGGCGCCCGTGCTTGTCACTTACACACAGACAGCACGCTACTTAGGCTCGACCCTCGCCTTCTTTCTTATAAGCCAAAGCCCCCACCATCGTTTCTTCCGCTGCCGGAGCCCTCCACCTACATACGCCTCCCCAAGCTCGGAGACATAGATTGCTCCTCCTCAAGTTCTGGCTCCCTCCATCTATTGCTTCCGGCCGGTTGCATAGAGTCTTTCTGCACCTTTCACTCGACGTCACCCGAACCCATCAGAAAATGTCCAGCTCGTCGAAGCCGCGGCAGCCCCGACTGAGGGCGTCGTGCGACGGCTGCTTCCTCGCCAAGGTCAAGTGCTCCAAAGCTAGACCCATCTGCTCACGCTGCCTCGCCTGCGGCATAGAATGCCGCTACTCGCCCTCGATCAGATCCGGGAAGCCAAAGTCAGACCACAACTCTGGGCACCACAGTTCTTCTGCCAGCGACATGTCTGGCCTTTCGCCCGTTGGCGAGGATAAGACCATGTTGATCACAACGCATGTGAGCGCGCCGGGCCTTTACAGGATAGATACAGGCTGGAACACCCCACCAGCGGGTGTCGAGGGCACCCTCAGTCGAGACCATTCCATCGCCTCCGGACTTGCCCTCCTCGGCGTCGACGAAAGGGCTGCGAGAGAGGCCGAAGCTATGGCGGCTGCTGGGGGACCAGACATGTACTCTACCGGCATGCCATGGACTCCACCCAACGACATGTCTGCCCCAGGACATTTCCCTGAGCCGACAATCATGGCACCCATGCCCCAAGGTCATGGCCATGGCAGGTCGCAGTCGTTCGATGTTGCCATGTCTACCGCAGGCGTCTCACACTGGGCGGGCCACACCGTGCCACACGATATGTTTGGGGGTTATGGCCAAACGCACATGCCAACCCCGGCTAGCATGGCAAACTACTTCCCGAGCCCGTCCTCGACCCCGACCCTTCGACCCCAAGTACGCAACAAGGCCGGCTCGACTGGCTCCATTAGCGGCGGCGGCGGCTCCTGTACCTGCTTCACAGCCTGTCTTCAGTCACTTCAAGCCCTCCACGACGCCTCCGCTCCATCAGCACCGCCCTTTGACATCGTGCTGTCCATGAACCGAAAGGCTGTCGAAGGCTGCGCAGCAATGCTCTCATGCCAGAGGTGTATGAGCCGGTCTGGGACGCACACAGCGGCGATGTTGCTGGCTACGGTCATTGGCAAGATAACATCCTTCTACAGGAATGCGTCCCAGACTCACTTTGAGAACGGAGGCATGGGCGGCGGAATGGGCATGGGGATGCCCTCCACAAGCGGCGCGCCGGGCTGTACCAGCCCAACGCTGAGCATCAACGGAAACTTCGGCATCAGCCTCGGCGCGTACCAAATCGGCGGCGAGGACGGCCGCTGGATCGAACTCGAGATACTGGCACGAGAGCTGCGCAAGCTGGAAGAGGTCTATTCGCGGTTCCGAGAAGTCTTTGCGGACCTCTCCGAGGATCCCGAGATATCGAGGGCCATGATTGGCTACCTTAGCCAGAATCTGGGCTCGACACTCGATGTTGTCAGCCATCGCAAAGGGGACATGGGCTTTGCATGACCCGGCTCTCCGCTCCTTCAAAATCCTCCGCGTTGAACTTTTCCCCACAATTCCCGTTTCGTTGCGAGTTTCCAATCTCCCAGATCTTTCTAGGACAAAGCATGTCGTTGGCACTCCGGTGCACGTGGGGTTGAGACGCTAGCATTTTTGTGTGTTGTCGAGCGAACAGGCCAACTACGACAAAGCGCTTGCCCGATTGATCCATTGGGCGACGCATTCGAAAAAGAATAACCCGCGCTACTTTTTTTGCCACCTCCCTCCCTCGTTTTTTCTCTGACTTGACGACCGCGATGATTTTCTCAATACAGCCAGTCTCTTTATCGTCATCTATGGCACTTATCGGTGTGGCGCGCAAGGAGCCATTTTCTCTCCTCTTGGCTGGAGGCTTTTCCTTCTCTGATTCTGATGTATCTATTATTACTCGGGCTTTCTTCCTTGTCCTCATTTGTCATCAGGTATCTTTGGGTGCGTGCCGGACTAGGCTTAACCGTTATTTCACTTCTACTTTTCTCTCCTTTTCCGCTTCTTCTAGGGTTTGGTCATTACCATGGAGCTTTGGGCGTCGATCCGGGTTTGATCGGTATTTTTCAGGGTTATTAATTCGTCGTCTCTGGAACATCACGGAGAGACGGAGGCTTGGGAAAATGGGGACATGGCAGGATTTCGGTCTTCACTGTCAAGGAATAGGTTAAACAGAAAGGAAATGACACCTCAACGCATATGATTTGCTTCCTTTGCCATTTAGGATTTCACCCGCGGAGAAATCAGGTCATTACCTGGGCGGCCAATCTTTGCGCCCAGCTCTGTTCACACCCCGCCGACGATTACGGGATCCTCCTGGGGGCGATCTCTCATCCATGCCCCCGAGTGAATTGCACGCCACCTGGTGCTCATCATCCCATCCATGTGGAGGCAGGGCAGGTCATTCGATGGGTAGGTAGGAGGCTACCACGTGGAGCGTCCCAACATGGTGTTCCTGGAACCGTGGTCTATAGGGGCGGAAGGGACGGCGCGCACATGGTCTTGTGCGGCTTGACCGACACAGTTGTTTGGCCAAGGCAGCTGAGGAACATGATACATAGACAGGGTCGGAGGCAGCTGGTTGGCCCCCCCTATCGTCATTTCCCCTTGTCCTCCACACACCAGTAGGACCATCCCAGCAACGACTACTTGGTGACCCTTTCCCGGAGAGGGTGTGGTCACGTATTCTCCCGAAAGGGGGGCGGTACGAAAAGAGAGAAAGAGATAAAGAGAGAGCTGTCTGCGGGATCTCGCGAAACGCTATCTGAGTGCGGCGGCTCACCACGCCCCCCCGGGAGGTGGAGATGTCCGGCGGAACGAGCGGCACGCGCAAACGGATTAGGAGCAATCTAGGGAGGGGGGGATGGTATGTATTCCTTTACTCGATCTGGGTATCTTGGCCCCCTTTTGGATGCGATCTGCGATCTCGGGACCGGCCTAGGCTGTCATCGCTTGCTTTGAGGTGCTGTCGCCAAGGCGATGCCTTGTCGATATGCGCACTCACAGCCAGCCGGGCATGCCCGGGCAGGCACCAATATACTTATGTGTTGACGCATCGGGATGACGATTGGGGGTGCCGCCGAGAGCAGAGCAGGGGATGGGCTGTCTCCTACCTCGCTGTCCTTCTTCTAGGATCGGTCGGGTGACTACCTAGGTACCTTCTGATTCCTGGTCGTGGAAGGGGAAGATCAATCTGAATCTGACACACCCCACCGGCGGATGTGCGGGAAGGCGTAGCAATATTTTCTTTCTTGGCGATCTCCAGAAAAAAACAAGTATCGACTCCCTTTGCCTCTAGACGGGTGCTTCCATGGTTTCGGGGGCATCCACGGGCAGCAGTTCGAAGGGAGACGCCAGTGAGAGATAAGCAACAAAAGAAATGTTAAGACAGCTAGGAATAGAACAAGCTCATTTCTCTGCGCTCATGGGTCATATTCAGCGTCGCTACACCAAGGATATCACAACCTTCGCCTCTTTTCCATCATCTTCCAAGCATTCGCCTCTGTGGCGCCACCGCCCCCCGAGGGGGACCAAAGTACTGCACAAAAACGAAGATTTCATATCAAACCCCCCAACGGTGTAGTTCTGAACAGCGGTGGCTGCCCCAGCACATGTCCCAGCCCCTCGAATTGAGAACCTTGGACACAACGAAACTGGTGGATCAGAACTCTCTCCCGAGGAGCCTGTGTTTTCTTTTCGGCCTCGGGAGGACTTCGCAGTAGCGCGCCACAGGGACCATGCGGCCAGCGTCAGGCAGTGAAACGTCGGAACGATAGGCCTGATGTTGCTTTTTTTTTCCCCTCTTGTCTTCCCTTCTTTGTCACGGCGGAAGTCCGTCTCCATCAAAAGGGCAGTGACGGAAGGAGAGTCCAGGCTCCTCTTTCTCACCTCTCCTGCCACCCATCTCGGGCTTTGGAGGCTGGGAACAAAAGCAAAGGGCCGCAATTTGACTGCAAGGAGAGCACCGTGGGAAGAGGCGTGTAGGACAGTAAACCCTCCGATGGGCGCCGGCCTTGGCGTGAATGAGCCTGCCCCCCTGCCCCTAGCACGGCCGTAATGGGGAACGTGCGGTCTAGGGTATGTGGCCGCCATCCAGCAGGGGGTTGTGGTGGATGGAGGGCCAAGCTGTGTTCTCGATGGAATGAACATAATGTGGCATCTTTGGCAAATAGAGTCTCGGCACTATCCTCGGGGTTTAGGATTTAGTCTAGGGTGGTGGACAGTCTGCAGTGCGCTTTCAGGATGAGGATTCTATGTAGAGCCGCCGAACTCATCGATTTGCATACAACACAGGTGATACTTGGGGCTTACCGGTCTGTCTGTGGGCTTTAGATATTGTATCTTCTCGGCTCCGAGTTGGAATGCCTGGGGGATGAAGGAGGACTTGCATGATCCGATGCCAAAAGAGCTCATAACACGCCACCATGTAGACCGAGGATCGATATTTTGCATGGCCGGCTCGCTCCCCGATCGCTCACACCCTCCCTTTGACTCCACAGGGGCGCAGCCAAGGGGCACATACGCATCCGCCCCACAATTTGGCTGTGATGCACCGCTGCGAGGCAACGATTTGATGCTGTGTTGTGGTGTTGGAGATGCGGAAATACTAGCGGGGCTTCTTGTCGATGACAGAAGGAAACATATGGAATAGAGATCGAAAATTTTGTGGTGCGGGAGGTGTGATTGGTTGGATGCCACCGAAGAGAAAAATGAATCTAACGATGCGGATATGATGGGATCCGGGTAAATCCTCTCTGCGAGGCGTTACAGGAGTAGCCCAAGAGGTTGCCCATCCTGCTCCAGGGCACACCGATGTCACATCACTTACACGCCTGCGCTATCTTTCCCCAGCCCGGTTCGTTCTGCTACAGTCCAGTTCGGTCCAAGGGCACGGCAGGAAAGCGGCAAGGCTTTCCGGAGGGGTTTCGGCTGCTCCGCGGAGCTCCGTTCCCGATACCCACGTGCAACAAACATGCTTTTTCCTTCCACGGGCGAGCTAGAGGGATATGGTCGCCCCAGCCTAAAAGCACGATGCAGTGGCAGCTTCGGGGACGCAGAAGTGCAATACTCGGGAAGGGCTGCAAGGCAGCTAGGCGAGAGCTACCGAGCCGTGAACAGACGAGTGGGAAGCGTGGAGTGAGGAGCTTGCTGTCCCTTGGGTGCCACCCACAAGCATAGAGTCGCAAGCGGTTGGTAAGCTGGTCCGCAGTATCGGTGGGAGCTGCAGCACTTGAAAGCAGGCGGCCCTCGCGCGTGGCGATCTCTTCCGCTTTCAGACCACAGGGGGATGGCGCCTCGACAAGCCCTCGACACCACTACCTGCTGCTGCTACTACCGGGCCAAAGTCTCCGCCACATGTAGAGATGTATCGTCGGTTCCAGTGGTACATTGACACATGGCTTCCAGGACCAGGGGTTCTTTTCCAAGGTCGGGACCGGGCCCATCGGAACACTCGCCTCGTCTGTCTGCTTACCCTCCATCCTTTGCCCCGCCCAGGCGAGTCCCAGGGGGATCTGGACGTATTGCACGATGGGTGGGTAGCTTTTGGTGGCAGCGAACCATCAACACCTCGCTTGTTTGCCCGCTCGCCTTCGAATTTCAGCCGTGCTGACACTGGATCCCATTGGGGCCCAGGGAGATGGAGGGGGTCGATCCTCGAGGGAGTGGCCCGGCATCATCTCTGGCCTCCCCAATTGGTCTGGGTGGAGAATGCATACTAGCAGCGCTCGGGAGCGAAAGAGAGGGCGAGGTGGCTTCGGGTAGAGAGGTACGGCATTGGTCGCACAAGGGTGAGGGGAATAGCACCGAACCGAGAGGAACGAAGCGGCGTCATCTCCAACAGGAACACGAGGCGGTGGACGGGACGCGGGCACTACCTTTCCCTTGCGGCATGGCAGCAGGACGACGAGCAACGGATCAATCCTGAGGCGCCTCCACGAGCCGCCATGACGAGCTGTCATATCCTCTGTCCTGAGCCAGCAAGTAGCCCAGCCGTCGTCATCGAGTGGGCCCTCGGGGTTTTGGCTGTCGGTAGTGGCAGCTCTAGCAGTCGAGCCTGGCCGGCAGTGGGGATCGAATTCGAAGCTAGCGGCTGGGCCTCGCCCCACTGTTTGGCTGCAAGAGTGAGCATAGCCAGACATGTAGAGAAATGCGGAAGGCGTACCCCATGCGCGCGAGCTGGCGAAAGGAAGGAGCTCGGCGGTTCGAGATGGAAATCCGCTCTTCATTGACTCACTGACGATGCCACATGCATTCTTTCCCATCTTCCCACTCTGGGCTTTCCGAATCTTGGATGACCCCGCACCCTGACGGTGTTCATCTCTCTTGGTCCTGCACATTTGCGCCATGGACAGCACACGGGGTTTACCGCCCAAGGTCTTAGGTTGGTCGAAAGCCCAAAAGCCCAAAAGCCCAAAAGCCACCGCGGCAGGCAAGAATGCGAGGAAAGCAAGAAGAGGGTAATGCCCTGGACGCCATGCGTTTGTCCGGTTTGGGCCTGTGGCTTCTTCTGACAGTTGTCGTCCTGCAATTTCGACCCAATCCCCGCCAACGCCTCCCGACGTCCCAAAACAGAATTTCCTCGTTCGGATGGATCTTCGACCTCTCCAGCCAGCCGCCAGCCAGTGACGAGAACAGACGCAGAGGAGCGCGCTAGGCCCAGCTCCGGGTCGCCGCGAGCCG